TATTCTATTTTATTTCTGTTTATTATCTATCTTGAAGATAAGTTTGTGTTTATTCTTTTATTTATATTCATTTGTGCTTGTGTTCAGTTTTTATTGTTTGGTATCTTCTATTTAATCATTTTTTATTCTCTTGTTTATTCTATTTTGTGTTTGTTACTTGTTTTTTATTTATTTCAAAACTTATGTTATATGTCAACACTATTACTTAAACATTTTGAAGTTATGATGTTATTTTCATCTAACTATCTTGTTAATACATTAATAATTATTCATTTTAAATGATATATATATAAAACAATAAAATATTCAAATATCAAAAAAATAATTGTTGAAACTCATGGATATTGTTTTGAAATAAAGTTGTAAATTACGCATATTAGTAATAAGAATACAACCAATTTATAATTACATTTATACATTCTTCTTGTACAAACATATAACAACATCAAAAACACTGTTATATTAAGAGAGTATAAAAACTTCTTCTACATATATAATTTAAACTATATCTTCTATGCTGATAGAACAAAAAAGAGAAATTAAATGTGTATCTAGATATAATTTTAAAAAAAAAATATATGAAATTAAACATTGAAAATATTAAACGAACTAATTTAAAGAAAATAAAATTATTCAAGTAAATTATGTGTTAATGATATGTTAACAATAAGAAAGATTGAAATGAATTAAAATTTGTTTAACATTGACAACAAGTAAGAGAAAAAACAATTAAATATTATATTTATATTATTCATTATTTTGTTTAATCTCATCTCTATTATTTATTAGTTAAACTAGATGTTGGATTCATTCTTTTAATATTTATTTAATTTCATGATGCACTTTATTCTGTACCATTTTCTTCCCTTGACCAAATCTTCTAGTATATTTATTTTCTTTAGGATTTCTTTTATTTCATCAAATTTATCTCCTATTATTTTGTTTTGGAGATAGATGTGCATAACCATTGAAATATTCTTCATATCAACTTGTAGTTCATGTATTTTGGAAACATATGAAAATTAAAAAATAGAAATTAGAAATAATGAATAAAAACATAAATAGATAATGATAAATAAAGAGAGAAATGAAATAACAAACATACAATCAAAATATTTTTGTGTTAAAAATATTGAATTATTGTAAATTTCACATGATCATGAGATTAATTCAAATGTACATAATACAGAAGTATATAACTATAACAATGAAATAGTTTATTTGATGTAATAAGAATGAATAAGAAGAAATAAGAATATAAAAAGTAACAATCATAATATAAATAAGTGATAATAAAGAAATAAATATAAATAATGGATATAACAAATGAGTGTATAACAAATGATATGATATTTAAATAAAATTTGAAATGACATGTATAATGTTGAAACATCATATTTTTCATTTAATTATTTCATTAAATAATTGCAATTTGAATAATTTGAATAATTTAATTACTTCATAACTCCAATAATATATTTTATGAATAATTTAATAATGTTCAATATTTTATGTATTATTTGTTTTATTGAAAATATGTAGAAATACAAATAAATTGATAATAGATTATTCATGAAATACATAATGATAATCAACACAAATGATAATAATATATTTGATGAAGTATTTTAAGTATGTTTATTATGAAAGAAAAAGGTTTAATGTTTAAACACTGATGAAATGTTTTAATAAACATTAATATAACTTACATAATCATTAGAAATAACTAATGAAGTGAATTAAATAATTTATGTATTAAATTGATAAAATAAATTGTTATGATTAATTCTTTCTCTATTTAATTTATTATGACTCAACTTTTATACTTCTAATTTTCATTACCAAACTTTATCTTAGAGATAATTCTTTGTATTTGTATGAATTGAATTTATAATAAATTATCAAACAAGTTGTTTCTTAATATTTGTCATTAAAATAAAGTTAATTACCATTTATAATTATTTCATATATTCTGTCTTAGTCTAATGGAACATCCCTATTCTCTATTGTCCATCCTAGATGTTCTGAAACTCTTCTCCTAACTTTAGCAGGATTTCCAACAGCAATCATATTGTCTGGAACATCATGCGTGACTACACTTCCTGACCCAACAACCGCATTTTCTCCAATTGTTACACCTGGTAAGATGATTGCACCACATCCTATCCATGCTCCATCCTTGATGGTAATTGGTTTTCCATATGCTGTTCCACCACATGCGTTTCTGATCTTTGGATCAGTTGAGTGTGTACCACCTATAAGACTAACATTAGGTCCTATCATCACATTATTTCCTATTTTCACTGGTCCACCTTCAAGAATATAACAATTAATGTTAATCACTGTGTTGTCTCCAATGTCAATGAAATTCCCTCGTGTGCAATTGAATGGAGCAAAGACATTGCTATTTTCTCCTAAGTGACCAACTATTGTTGGAAGGATAAATCTCGTTCATGGTTGAAATCAAATAACTTATTTCCTAATGCAAGTGATGCAGCAACTCCATCAGGTGTTGCTGGTATCATAATTTTACCTTCTAACATATACTTTGTTTCTTGTTCAGCAGTGGTGTTCATCTAGTGTTTTATTGATTTATTATTTGTAGTATTGATTCTCATAAAAACAATATATTCAAAACTATAACAAAATTTTGTTTAGTTGGAACTTCAATACCACCGAAATTTATGACAATTTTATTTTATTTGAAATTTCCTTATTTTCTATACTTCATAAAGAATTATATATAAACAGCAAAAAGAAAGAATAAATAGGAGATGGACTTTTACTTTACATTAAACAATGGTTATAAAATTCCTAAACTTGGACTTGGAACATGGATGTCAGCGAATGGAGAAGTTGGAAAAGCAGTAGAGATTGCGATAAAGAATGGATATCGACATATTGATTGTGCAAAAGCATATGGAAATGAGAAAGAGGTTGGAGATGGGATTAAGAGTGCTATAGCAAAGGGGTATGTTAAAAGAGAGGAATTATTTGTTACAACCAAATTATGGAGTACTGATAAACATAAAGAAGATGTTCGACCAGCATGTCTTGAATCATTAAAGAAATTACAATTAGAATATCTTGATCTTTATATTATTCATATTCCATTAACAGCAGATAAGAAAACAGGAGAATTTACTGAAGAAATAATTCCAATTGAAGAAACATGGAGAGAAATGGAGAAATTAGTTGAAGAAGGATTAGTTAAAAGTATTGGAGTATCTAATTTCAATATTAAAAAG